TCGTCCCTTAACTGGATTTCAATGCCTACGTTCTCTACTGTGAAACCGCCAACATTCAGGCAGAGGGCCAGGCTATCTTATTGACCCCTGGTCTAGGGCATTTCATCTACCATCCCCTAAAATTCACCAAAGGAATCCTTGCATATTACATCATTTTCATCTCTAAGTGAAAAGGAGAAGTATGGCTGGAGAGACCCTTAGAATTGTGGTTCCTGGAGGTCATTCCTGATTGAGGCTGCTCTTCCTGTCTGCTCTTGTAGGATGGTCAGGGACCTAAGCTGTGCAGCCAGGCATGAGTGGCTGCTGAGATGAAGGCTTCCAGCAGCCCTGACCCCTCTTTTTCCTGACCTGTGTCTATACTCCTCTGGGGTGTGGGGTGTGAAGAAGAACCTGGTGGGGAGAGAACCGTGGTTCCTTGGCTTCTTCAGTTTATCCAGAATATTTGAAATGGGTGTAATTGCTTAAGATTAGGTTCCACTTTCACTACAGCCTATGGGAGAGAAGAATTTGAGTTTCATCTGGAGTCCCACTGTTGAATATGCACCTCAATCCAAATTGTCAACGTGAGTCAAAAGAAAATCATAACAATGTTATTGTAAAATAAATTTTTATGTTATAATGTTCCTGTTTTGAATTTCATTTTATCCTATTTTTTCCCCTCAGTATTAGGGATCCAACCAAAGGGTGCTCTACAACTGAGGTACACCCCCAGCCCTTTTTAATTTTTAGAGGTTGGGTCTTACTAAGTTGCCCAGTTTGACCTGGAACTTGAAAGCCTATTTATCAGCCTCCTGAATTGCTGGGACTGTAGGCATGCACCCTGTGCCCAGCCTACCCTATTCTTACTTTTGATATGTCAGTGGAAAGTTGTGAATTACTCTTTTTTGGGGGGAAGGGAGAAGTAGCCCTTCATTTTGAGATGGTTTCTGGTCCCCCCCGGCGCCCCCCCGTACTGGGTGTTGAACCTGATGTACTTAATCACTGAGCGACATCCCCAAACCCTTCTTATTTTATTTATTTATTTTGAAACAGGGTCTTGCTAAGTTGCTTAGGGTTTTGCTAAATTGCTGAGGCTGGCCTTGAACTTGCAATCCTCCTTTCTTAGCTTTCTGAGTATCTGGTATTACAGATGTATACCACTTGTGTATGGCTGAGATGGGTTTCTTTACTACCTTTTTTTGGTAGTAAAATACCCTTTATCTTATGATGTCAGTACAGGGTGGTAGACTGATATCCTTACTTGGTTAAAAAAAAGAAAAGTCACAACATTTTTTCTTTCCTTGTCTCCACCTTATTTTTGGATAGTCTGCCAGAGAACAAATTCTCAAGCTTGAGGTATAGTCTTAGAGATCACTTAGCCTTCATTTCTCAGAAGCAGAAGCTGGCCTAAACTGGAATGACATGCCTGAGGTCTTTCAGCTAATAAGTGAAAAAATCAGCAATGAAACTAAATCAATTGAGTTAACATCTTTCCATCACCTCCAGCTGCTACAAAGCACTTTATTAACAAGAGCATGAAAAGGATGTTGCTTGTGTGCTAGTTTGTCAGGCTCTGATATATATAATTGATGGAGCATACATTTGCTGTGCACACTGAATGGAAAGGACTTCTGATCCCCCATAATAATTGCCACATCTGTGCACACACATGAAGAAACTGCCTTAATTACCTAGCATGTGAATAACAAGCAAGTGTGGTTTATGGCACTGGAAATACGCTTGAGGGGGTTATGTGTATGGAAACTATCAATTCAGAAGGCAGGGAAGTCAAGAATCTACTTATAAAATACCTCTCAGGCAGGAACAGAAGCGGACTCCTTCAGTCAAATGCTAGTTTTTATCAAAACTGGGATTTCCAGCTCTACCTTAGTTAGCAATCCAGGTCTGTTCAAGATAGTGTTTGCTTAAAATGTCAAGTGTACCCCATTAGCAATGAGCAGATGACAATGTGGGAAAGATGGGAAACTCAACATGCAGAAATAAGGTAGGTGGCTGGGCTGAGTAACAAGGGTATAGTGCAGAAATCTATGATGCCATCTATTTCAATAACAGGGTTGGATGTACAAGGCAACTTCAGTTGAACTCCAAGTTTAGGAAGGGCATTGTCTGCCTCCATATCACAATCTGTTTATTTCACCATCTGTTGCTCTTTTTAAAAACTATTTAAAAATCAAATTTAAAAAGTTTGCAATGAAGAGCTACCAGGCTACAAATATATGCATCAGGAGATTTCAAAGAACCAAACATATGTTTGATCAACTATGAACTGCATATCTTTTGGAGAAATCATTTGAACTTTCCAGTTTCATCAATTCAGGGAACACTACCTCTAGGAATACCTACCATCTCCAATCTTAGAGAATATTTATGTAGTTCATTTCCCCAATGTGTGCAAAGCTTTCTTCAACAGCAGAGAACATTTGCATGAGAACAAACTAAAGTGGCAAGAGCAATATCCAAATGAACAATTTTTTAATACTTTTTTCACCCCAAGTTAAATGTTGTTGAGTCATTTTTTTTCAAAATTAGCATGTGTTTGTGTTTAATCCATTTCACTACTAACTATGGTGAATTTTATTTTTTGGACTGGGATTGAAACTGGGGTGCTGTACTATTGAACTACATCCCCACTTTTTATCCTGTGACAGGGACTCACCAAATTGCTGAAGCTAGCCTGAGAATTGCGATTCTCCTGTCTCAGTCTCCTGAGTTGCTGAGATTACAGGTGTGAACCACTGCCACGTCCAGCTAAAGTGGTGCATTTTGGATTCTAAACTATGGAAAGGTTCCACTGGGAATGTGATCAATCAACATACTATAAGAGAGTTAATTCCCTAACACAAAAATGGCCTAAGATGACAACTGCAAACAAAAAGATGTTTTTCAAATGCATCTAAATATTGATATTTAAACCAGAGTGAAATGTTTGATATTTAAACCAGAGTGAAATGTTTTTAGAACTTCTTATTCCTTTATTTTGGCTATTCTTCCATGAAGTAGGGCAGTCTTTTCCTACTTGTTTGAACTTTGCTCCCTGAAACAGAGAACACTTCCAAGGTTGTTCTGAAAATGTAAACCACGCCCCTTCCCGGTTGGAATCACTGTTTTAGACATTTTTTAACCAACCCCTATTAGGAATTTTGAAGCTTCATTTTATGTAGGTTTTTAGCTAAACAGTATTTTCTTCTCAATTTTTCTTTTTCTAAATATACAATAGATTTACAATACTGACTATACTATTTCAAATTTATGCACTTTGCCTTTCTTGCATGCTCCAGTCCTAGTTGCCAAAGAGACTCAATCAATCTGCTAGGTCAGATTTACTTTCTCTTGTAAAGTGCCAGGAAGTACTGTTTTTGGCCTTGCGAGGCAGCTGGTCAATCCTGTGTTTGTAATGACAAAGGGCCTCAGCCTGCAAATGAGCGTGATGGACATGTTCTACTAAAACTTTATGAACACTGAAATCTGAATTTCGTATAATTTTCACGTGCCACAAAATTTTATTGTTCTTTCTACTTCCCACAGCTATTTAAAAAAAAAAAATCCTAGTCGCACAAAAACAGGCGGCAGACGAGCTGTAGTTTGTCAACTCAAATGGCACTGGAAGGACTGGTCCTATAGGGGTTAAGACCTAATCCTGTTCCTGGGTGATTTCTCCATACAAATGTGAGGTCCCCAGGAGGCAGCACTCTCATTTTCAGGGTTCTCAGGGGGCATGAAGGCCTTACAGCATTGTAAATACGTGTCCTGTCCGGTTCAGGGGGAAGAGGCTCAACAGGACTTTGAAGACGCTGCAAGGTTCTGGGCTGCAGCACAGGAACACTCTAGAAACACTTCTGGCCCCAGCGAGTCAGCGCCGGGCGGCGCGGCAGGGGCAATAACGTACTCACCTGGGGTCAGTTCGGGTCCTCCCAGGCAAGCGGCAGCGAGATGGCCAAGCGCGCGCCTGTCACCAACCCACGGATTCGTGCCGCTAGCTAACCGAGAGGCCTACAGACACTTTCCCCAAGCGAGTCAAGGTGCGGACCGCCACTGGGAAGCTCCTTTCCCGTCCGGTCGGGACGCAGAGCCCGGCTCCAGCCTCCTTTGGGGCGGGGCTTTGGCGAGCTCGGCCTCGCGCGCGTGCCCCTGCACGGCTCCGGCTCTTTCCCGCCGGGGGCGCGCAGCCAGGCCAACCCTGGCGCGTGCTTGCGGCGCCTTCGCACGGCTCCGGGTGGTTCCGCCGCCGTGCGCGTTACCCGCGTCCCCGCCACGGTGAAGCTGCCAGCCCAAGAGCCAATTAGCGCTCAGGGAGGCGGCGGCCACTTCCTCGTCGGCTCGGCGCGCGCTCGGGACGGCTTCGGCGGCCGCGGGGCGGGGCGAGCACTCTGCCGAGCTGCTCTGCCTGCGTCCGCTCTTCGCGTAGCAAAGGGTGGGCGCAGGTCCTCGGAGGCGCAGGACTGCACGTCAGACAGAAAGAAACTTTGGGGCGCCTTGGAGTGCCGGCTGACCGGGCGATCGGTTGGCTCTTCGTGCGCGGTCTTTAGGTTTAGCCGCTCAAAGAAGCGAGATGTCGAAGCCGCCTCCCAAACCAGTCAAACCAGGTAAGAGAGGCTCTCGCCGGTGCCTGGCTGCCTCGGTGCCCGGCGCTCCCTCTGCCACTTGGCAGGGCTGACCACGCACCTACCCGGCCCCAGCCTCGCTTTCGAGATCGGACCCACCAGGAGGGAAGCTCCTAGCTTTGTTGCGTTCACTACAGGGGAGGAGTCACTTGAAAGCAAGAAGATTTCGAGGATTTAAAAATTTGTATATATTTTAAAGGAGTTGCCCTCGGTTTTGCAACCTTATTTATCATTCGCTCCAACTTCCCAGAGTGTGTGATGGCAACATCCCATTGAAGCTTTCCGCGGCAAGACTGAGCCATCGATATGTCTGAAAAATAAGTATGTCTTGAAATGGTCTTTAGCCACTTCCTCTTTCTCAGTGTGTGTCACTGTCAAGTTAGAGTTCTTGACCGGCCTGAGCGAACGGGAAGTGTGCTGTTTGCAGGGTGGGGTTGGGTGAGCGAGCCTCCTCCGTGACTTTTCAGAGGAGCAGTATTTGAAATTGACCTCGGGATCTTGGGAAGAGCTTTTACAAAAAATCTGTACTCGTGCTTTGGAAAGGAAGAACCTAGGCTGCTACAAGAGTAATTGGGCTGTTACTTTTCCGAAGTGTCACTGTACCGTGCAATGCTTGTCCTTTGCCTCTGCTCCCCCAATGATTTTGGCGTGCTAAACTGTAGACCGGTGAGAGCGCGAAGTTCCTCAAAGAAGTTTTCTTGGCTGATAGTCCTTGTTCATTTTTTTTTTTTAAACTCTGCCCTTCGAATATTTTCTGTGATACGGAGAAACAAGCGCATTTAAAGGGACCCGTGCATTTCAGTTCATTACGGTAATAGGCATTCATTCACTCTGATGAATTCTCAGGTTTTTTCCCCCACTTGTAATCTTGTGTAACTTCGGTATTCGAAAGGCTGAAATTAACCGATTTATATCAAATTTGAAAGTGTCTTTCGTTGCAAGTGATAGAGTTTCAGCGACTAATTTTTTTCTCCATTTTTCTGAACTTTAGTCAAGCACTGCAACTTTAATAATTTTCCAGTTTTCTTTCTTTATGTTCGTACAGTGGCAGGATCAAGTCCCAGTATTTGAAAATAAGCACATCCTCACGTATTTAAATTGTCTTTCACTGAGGACTTGGATTTTGTCCTGTTACTTGTGGAGAAGTTGCTGAGATTGGCTTTGCCCTGAGCAAAGATGAGGTGTGGCTAGAGTTGGGCTTTGCAGCTGTATTGATATGGAATCTGATGCGAAATTTGCATCTTAAGTGCCTAAGTATGAGGAGGCAGCTTTCTAAACTCAGATGTAAATTAGGACCTCAAGTATCCAACAAAGCAGAGTTGTTTTTTGAAAGCTGAATAAAGTACTTTATTTTAAAGAATGTCCTAAGGACCAATTCTTGGAGGATTTTCATCCCTTCCTACATATTGGAGTCTGTGCTGCATCTAGAGGGCCTTAGATTGAAATATGCTTGTGTTGTGTGAATGCATACTTGTGTACTGATGTATACCTGGGTGTGGTTTAGTGTGCTACCCATTGGGGATGCACTCCAGAAACAATTTTTGTTGTTGTTGTTGTTATCTGACATCATTATTTTCTTCTTTTCCTCAACAAATTAGAAGGTACATGGTCAACATGACTTGTGTAGGGAGTACTTTGACTCTGCACTAATTTATAAATGAGATCCAAACATAAATAAAGTTAACATTGAAATTGGCTTGTTGGTTTAGTAGCTTTGGGGGGAGGTACTGGGGACTGAACTCAGAGGTACTTTATCCTGGGTCCTTTTTAGTTATTTTTATTTTGAGACAGGGTCTCCATAAGTTGTTGAGGCTGTCCTTAAACTTGTGATTCTCCTCCCTCAGCCTCTTGAGTATTTGGACTACAGGTGTAATAGTGCACCAATCATGAACAGTCATGTGCATTTTGGAGGTGGTGGGCAGAAAGTAGGAGAGGAAGAGGTTTCTAGTCTTCATTCAGACTCCGTTGTCATAGTGCACATAATAGTCACACCTTGGTTGGTAGTGCAAGAAGAATGGTGCTGCACTTTACTTTCTTGTCTTTGTAGGCAAGGTACATGGGTCAGAGTGTTCAAAGTAAGCGTGGAATTGGTGAGGGTATGTTTAATTTTTTGTTTTTTGTTTTTTTTTTATACCCTGCCTCATCCCAGAAGGACTTCTAAAAACATACTGTATCTGAGAAATGAAAAAAAAAAAAGATAAAGGTTATGTAGAGGGAGGAAAGAATAATAAGAAGAAATGCAAAGTTAGCTTAAAGACAAGTGCATCCTAAGGACCTTTCAAATTTATGGAAGGAGGGCTATAGATTTGGTTCTCTGCTTCAAGCAGAGAGATAAAAGACCAATTACAAGATCCCTAGTGCTCATAAAATTAAAATGTGTTACCTCCTCTGAGAAATAGTTATTTTAATGGCACCAAGATCTGAAACAAAATTTCCCCATGGGTTCTCTTAAAGTGTTGGAGTTGACAGGACATTTTAATGAGAAATACAAGAGGGACGATCATAGTGATATTTCTTAAGGTTCTTTTAGAGCTAGATCCTGACAAAATAACATGGCTCAACCCAATAGACAATACTGAAAGAGGAGCTAGAGGAGGGGACAAGGAACTTATTGGAAGATTTGAATAGCAAGGTACATTAAGCTATAATGTGGGTTAGCGCATCTTTCAGGGTATCAGCATGTGCCCAGCAAGGGACTATTCACAGAAGGAGGCTTCCCAGGTGAGTCCTAAGTAGATGTGGATGGAAGATGCAACTTATGCTATATCCTGAGGATATATAAAGGTCAGCTTGTTTGCATTTTTGGCTAGATCCAGAATTTTTTGGCTAAATGTTTTTTTAGTAAATGTAGCTTATATTTTAGGCTCTGTATTGGACATTGGGGTTCCAAGGAACAATAAGGTAAGGTCTCATCCGTGAGGGTCCTGAGTCAATTGAGGGTTGGACAACCCCCAGGCAGGTTGTTCTGTAAAGGTAAAATTTCTAAGCTGATTCTAAGCTGCAAAAGCCTGAGTTAAAGTGTAAAAGACTGGGCATTGTAAATTCTCTAAATTGCAAGGCCCGGGCTAAAGAGTAAAAGACCAGGTATTGTTAAAATTCCTCTGCTACCCCCGGAACCTGTAATCCCTGTAGCTGTTAGGACAATACCTGAACTGCCCAGTAAATATTTCTCCTGGTTCCCTGGTTGTTTAATAGCTAAGGGCTCCAAGTAGCTCGGCACATAGGCATCCAGGTCCCAAAACCAATCAGTTTCAATGTGTACCCCGCTTAGGAGTAACCAATCACCCCTGCCCAGACTGTTCCCCCCAATGAATGTACTAATCATGTCTCAGAGTTGTTGTTCAATTTCCCCGCGCCTCATAATGATTTGTTCTGATGTATGCAAAGCCCCCTGCCCTCTCCAAAAGGTGTACTTAAGCTCTGCTTGACTTCTGCTCTGGGCTGCTCTATCTTCCTGAGTGAGCCTGGAACCTCAGCATGCTGAATTAATAAATCCCCTTTTGCCAATTGCATGGAGCCAGTCTCTTGTGTGGTCTCTCTCTCCGACGCTCCGCCGGACCCTTACAGGTCAATCAATTTTATTAACATATGCAGTTGTATTATTGGTAGTTGCTTGGTATGATTGTTCTTTTATCTGATCAGTATTAGTCTGTGCACTTTGTATATCTATCTATATATATTATGCTAGATCACCCCATATTTATGATTGGATGACTGATCTCACCCATTTTGTTAAAAAATCTTGTAATTAGAAATAAAATAACGTATTTTCTATTATAGAAAATATGGCAAATAAGGTATATGTAAACAATAAGTAAACTTAATTAAAATTAAAAAATCATCCCTACATCTAGTGATAATCATTATTTATATTGCTTGAATAGTCTCTTAAGTTTTCTTTTCTTCTTCAAATCCATTTCATTCAAAAAAGAAAATGAAAACAGTTATCTTCAGAATGGTGTTTTAGCTTCAGTTTTAAATGTCTTGCTATAGTTGTTGTGTTTCCCGAGGAATCTGTTCAATATGTATTGCCTATATTCTGCTCTAAATAGCAGTTCTTTCACAGCTTGATGGTTGGTGCCTTGCTTACTCTTATTTTTCTGTAGGATCACTTTTGTTTATTCCAGGTTTGTCATTGAAACTCTCCCCTCTAATTTAGATGTGCTACTATGTAAATCTGCCTGCTGAGATGGGTCACAGTGCCATGGTATTCAGCTCATTCTTTACGGAACCCTTCTTCCAAATCAGTGCAACCACTTACTTTTACACACAAAGCATTTATGATGTTTTCAGCCACTCTCAGGACCCTTGAACTTCAGTTGGGGTGAACCTATCTGGCTGTCAGAGTGGAGAAGACAAGACCTTTGTTCCTATGAAGAACATATTAAAGACTTAATTCTGGGGCTTGATATAGAGATAGACAAAGGATATTGAACGGCAGTTGGACTTTCAAATCATCTTATTCTAGGTGGGTTTTGTAACAATCCATTGTAGTTGGAAACCTGATGTCTAATCATGGCCATTTCTTTCAAATGGCTTATTGATTTTGTTTGTGAAAGTAAAGCAACATAAATATTTCATGTGTCTTGTGGAAATAAGTTCATGGAACTTAGAAGAAATAAATGTCAATATCCTGGGCTTTTCCATTGGAAAAACATCAAAGATAGTACAATATGTTACTTAAATAGCAGTTTTGAGAGAAGAAGGTCATCATCTAAAATAATCTGAATTTCTTGTAGTGTCCTTCCCCCAAATGAATAAATTAATAAAAGGGGAGAGAATAGGGTTGACTTTGAAATATACACATGAATTATTCTTTTGTAAATGCCATGCTCCATTTATACCTGATGTCAGAATAAATTCTAAGAAGAGCATCTAGAAAATTCCAGGATGATTATGACAAAGATAATAATAGTTGTCATTTACATGGTCCTGTTCCAGGCACTGCACCAAGCACTTAATAGTCTGTCTTCCTTAGTTAT